AGTTCAAATGCTGGGGGTGACGAATGAAACTATGCATACTGCCGTTTTGTTCCGTCAATAATGACAACCATGAAAACAAAGTGGCCGCTAGATGTATTTTCTGTCAAGACACTGAAAATAGTGATAGGGAACAAGAATAATGACAACCATGGAAACAAAGATGGCCACTAGACGTATTTTCTGTCAAGACACTGAAAATAGCGATGGAGAACAAGATTAATGACAACCATCCTCCTCCAATCATCAAATGAGTATTCTTCAGTGACTTGTCCGCGAAGTCATAAATTTCTGTATTTTACATCACATTTTATTACGCGATTTTTTTTTCAAATGTATTATCCTTAATTTAGAATTTTGACTACACAAAAGATTTTTTTGAAAACAAGATGATTTTTACAAATGTAAAAATGGTCAAAGAAACGCTTTGAAATTTCGGTTATTTTCAAGTCTATTCAGGTTGACTGCAATTAGCGACAGTTATGGGTATTTTTATTTACGAGTACGATTCTATTTTAACAAAAAAAATAATCATTCCCTTTTGCAAACATTCGCCGAATATATAAATCAGCATTTTGTAAATAAAACTAACACTATGAAATTATTGGTTACGAATGTATCTACCGAAACATATATCCACACAATTTTGTATATTTTTCTATTTAAAAGACAATTCTATAAATAAACTGATTTCAATAAATTTGGCTGTGTTTTTATTAATTTGTTCGATACAGGTAGAGATCCAAAAGACCCAGCGATACCAAATTGGTGTTCATTCATACCCTCGGGCGGAGCTACATCACAGAACGTTCTATGTTGCCAAGATGTGCACCACTGTACCACGTATTTCTATGGGCTCTGTTCGAGCTGCCGTGAAACGCAGTCGAAGAGCTGGTGAAAACAGCTAAAGTTGAGAAAACTCAACTTTAAAGTAATTCTGAGCAACTAATGTATATATGTTTCACATGTAGGGGTAATCTTGTTACACTGTTCAGTAGAGTCTCAACAACTGTCTTAAAGTACAGTTTTCTGTGAGTTTTCGGTCTTTGTTTTCACTGTGATGGGTGCCAAACGGTGAAAATGCCTGGATGTCCGCCCCGTGGATACATTTTGTAAAAAACAACAGCAATACACCATACCAATGAATCACGCCCTCTATGACTTACATCTAAGTGACACGAAGACAATTCAAAGAATTGATATCGTTATTATCGATAAAGATTGTGTATTTAGAGGTTTTACTGTATTCGGGATGACAAACGGAGTACAGTCACAGTCGTCGACACAAGCGTTGCATCGCTAAGGATGAAAGAATAAATGTAAACACTAAGCATCATAGCATATTACTACTTGTCTGCTACCAACTAGGTAACATCGTCTGCTAGCAGACAAGTGACGTCGTCTAGCTGCTATCAGCGGCTAGGTCACATC